CGATTAAAAATCATAGCATTTGTTTTTTCATTAGATTTCTCCTATCATAAAATATTTATCTATTATCTATACTTGACCAAAAAAATAATAAAAAAAATTATTTTTTTTACCTACAATGGTCATCGTTTTTGGAAWTATAATTTTACCGAGGCCTWTTATTCAATATTTGCTGGCTGCGGTAGTCTCAGAGAAAGTTCAAGGGCAGCATAWTCTGYCTCTGCTGCCACTGTGCGCACGCCTGTGGATATAGGACATAGGTACTWACTTTTGGACACCTACGCGGTGCATTAATAACGTTTTTAGATATTTTACAACTAAACTATATATAATACTGGTAAGATTACTATTTTTTTGTGTCAACTGAACGTGTCATTGTATGGTTTGCATCTAATTATCATTTCAGGCCGTCTCTAGTCTAATATTTAATTGCATTACTCTAAAGTAAAAAGATACATTTTTTCGTGTTTGAATAATTCTCGACAGTTTACAACACTGCAGTTCATGACGCGCCATGCACGGTACTTATTATCTACCGTCATATTATGTTTATATAACTACAAAGTACGGGATGAGTATACAGAGAGTGAATGACCGAGAGAGGAGAGAGATGAGAGAAAGAGAGCGCGCGAAAGAGAGAGAGATGGGAGAAGGAGAGAAAGAGACCTTGGCCGCGTACGTGTTTCCGTCACGGTTAGTTTATGCCTGAAATCATAGTGAAGCTGCGTTAACGAATCAAAAGAGGATAATTCGATTCACGATCGTGTTTGTCGGTCTTTTAGTCATTATAATATTTCAATTTTAAAAAAACATAATGACATCTCAAAATGGTCGAATTTTAAGATGGTTTTAAACATATCTGAAAATTAATATAAAAATTAACGATCTTTTATCTGCAAAATATTGTAATAATTAAATGCATTCATAAAGTAATTTAYAGTTGTTATTTTATTAATAATAAATAATAATACTAGTTTATATATTTGTATTTTACGTAAATATGTATAGTTTATTTAAAAAACAGATTATGTATAGGAATTGGGTACCGAAAAATTAATATTAATAAGTGTTTTGATTTTAAATAGTTTAGACATATAACATACGCGATATCTATTGCTTTAATTTTGTCTTGATTTAAATTCCCAAATCTCATTGATTATCTTCTAAAAATATATTCTAAATTAAGTTTTTTCCCCAATACGTTTATCTTGTGGACTGGCCCATCTTTCACCGGAAATTAGTATTTTTAAATTGTCCATATCGGCGCAATGCATTGTTGGCTGTTGTAAAATACTCAAAGTCGGCATAGTAATTAGTAAGCGTTATAGGCATGCCTGATACACCTGTACTATAGGTATAATAATGTTATACAATGTTAATACGTTACAAAATAAATCGTAATATTTAATTTCCATTCGTTAAATGCAATCCGAGATTATTATTATCTAAAGATTTTTTTTTTTTAAAGCAGACTTTGCACACYAATCACTAGGTATTATCTGTTGCCAGTTGCCATTCTGTCCAAAACTATACAGGAGAGCTTTATACCTATTATAATTTTTTTTTAATAACCAGCCTGTAAAATTTTAAATGTTACGTCTTACGATTTATTACGAATGACGAWTTTGTTTACACTAAAGATTGTCGAGTGAAAATAATCGAATTTGGCCCAGTTTCAGTCAGTTGACTTCATGAGTTTTTGTTAGATAGCGCCACGAACGATAACTTTATTGTCCTCGCTCGCCGCTCTCGAGTCTCGATTATATTTTCYATACACTCATCGACTCATCTCTTATCTTCCTACCATAAATAATATTTTAATACAAAATAAATATATTATATAATACATACATTCATTGTGTACAGTACACAGACACACATAGACACATAGTATGTATTTATTTCTAATAAATACATCAATACTTTACGTTGTTATCATTAATGTTGATAAATAATTAATTTTATTCGCTACCTGTAATCTGCTGGTATATAGTTGTTGATATAGAGTTTAATCCTTTTTTTAAAAGTTTAATTAGTTATGTTATAGACGATGTTCCTGCATTATTAATTTTAATTGATTTGCTTGTTTTTTTTTTCATCTCAGTCAATAATTCACAGGTTGTACACTGTTCAGTGCTCATACAACACTTACATTTTGCTGACCGAAAAAGATTATCCAAAATGAGACTGATTGGCTATAGATTGGCAAAAAATCTGGAGAAAATGGTGGATTTCTACTCGCAATTCAATCCATCATCATTATCCATTAAACAGTTCATTGACTTTGGTGAGTTATTTACAATTATTAAACTGATACCATAAATTTCTTTCATAGAATTCCCAATAGTTAACAATGGTATTATATGTATGTCTATCGATGTAAAATTATTAATATTCGTCACTCATAATTCTCATTGTACAAACGTTTATAATCTTTTTATATTCAGTTTATTACTTAACAGTAACCATTTTATGACAATATTATCAGAGATTGTATATTTTTTTTTCATTCAATGTTTAAGTCCAAACACTTATTTTATTTTACGAATTCCAAATGTAAATATTTTGTAAGTGCCCATATATTATAAATACATATTTTATAAGAATAATTACTTTTTCATTAATTCATTTGAATTAAGTTGGGTATTCCTTGTATTTTAAACTTTCAGGATTGTTTTATTGTTATACCTAGCTTTTTACAAGGTATACTACTGATAAATGTATTGCAGTCTGCAGTTATAATCATTTGAAGGTCGACTTTAATGAATTTTATTAGTTTATTACTGACCTAGAAAGTTAATACTATTTTATTTATAACACAATGACATATTATATATTTACCTCAATATTTACTAAACACGTCTACCATACACAGAGTTAAAATAATTTTTCTAAGTTTTGCTATTTAACATTTAATTTATTACCTAGTTTGTTTTTATCAAATTAGTAATCTTATTTTTGGATACCAATAATATTATATTAGTATCTATTAATTGTATTCTGATCGTATCTAAGATGTTTTTAAGCTCAAAATAGTTTTTTATATGGTTTTCTAAGTAATTTTCTTGCATAAATTTACACATGTTTAACATTCCATAGAGGCAGGATACAATTATATTTTTGTGGATTATTCTTGTTTTTATTATTTTAATTAGTTTATTATCAGTGCCGTATTTAGGGGGGAGCTACAGGGTACTATTGCTCCGAGTGGCTGAGTAGGAGACGGTGGCTAATTTTTTATAATTTAAATTTATATTTTGTATAATGATTAATGAGGCGTATTTTTTTTGTTGCCCCTTGGTGTCAAATTCCTAAATACGGCCCTGTTTATGGCTAAAACTATCAAATATTTGCTCTTATATATATTTAAAAAAAAGAAAATTGTTTGGTTATAAAAAATGAAAAATGATTATATAATGGAAAACTTAAGGAAGTATTAATACCTAATAATTAAAAAAAAAAATTCAGATGGAATGTTAATAGATTGGTAGATTGCATATTTGAGTGATTGTAGTTCAATCATAAGTAACCTGTATATCACTACTTTTACCAGTGCCTTAAATAGTAATAACRTACACTGGGTTCCTATTTTTTTTTTAATTCAATTTTAAATACAAAATAAGGTTTTAAATTTCTAATGAATATAGTCTACATATTCAGATTTAAACTGAGTTCTGTTCATATAGATTGTATTTGTTCAATACATATAATGCTTCATTTATTAGAGTATAACATTTTTATTTTTCAACTTAAGGACAATTAGAAATTAATTTTTTAAATATTTATTTAACTTAAAATATTTCAGCACATTACAATTAACAGGCTTGATCACATTATCTTATTAAAAGTTACTATGTTTTTGTGATGTTGTGATATGTTAATATTTGTTAATAAGTATTTTTAGTATTAAAAATTAGGTTTGATCATCGTATTCACTGATGATGAAATTAATTAAAAATTAAAAATATTAACAATATGTATAAATATAACATTTTAA